CCTTCCTATGAGAATGCGATCGTGTGCCAAAAAAGGTGTTTTGATAACATTGAAGCACGAAAGAAGATGCCATATAGACAATATGAAACAGAGGGGAAATGTATGACACACCATGTGTGTCACGCGGTCCGGAACGTGTTAATGATTTCTATTTCTATGTTTCTTCCTTTTCAGCATTGCCTTTTCGAATTTATTCAACTTCATTCCTTGACCCTTGTTTTCAGCTGGAAATTGCGAATGATGAGAACGTCCCCCCTGCGGGAGACACTGTCGGTCGGCGACTTCCAAGAGATGTCAGAGGAGTGAGTGCTCAATTGCTCCACAGATTTCCGCTCCAGACCTAGCGTAGATACCTCTTCCATTATAGGCCAAAAAAGCTTCGTCACCATCGTGTAATAGGACTCCACTGCGAATGAAAATAAAGAAGTTCGACGATGTGGCGAAGATATGCGAAAGTTCTGTCAGGTCCTGATTTATTACTGACCAGTTTCAGAGCTAATGTGAAACTAAGTATGTTGCAGATATCCATCGTCAACAGCCCATTTGTCTCACAGCAGACAGGTTGCGTCTGACGCTTGTTTAATGCCCGTAGGTTCACTACTTACCTTCTTGGGTACTTTACTTTTCTTTTTTTTCTCAAGTTTTGACCAAGACAGAACATAGGATTCGTTAAGGAAACCCATTTACCATCTTATATCAGCCCAAACAACCCTGTAATCAGTTTGAACAACTGAGTGCAGGATATTTTCTGGAAATCTGCTAAGTCTTGTAAAGCAATGAACTAGTGGGAACTTCATTTCCACGGCATTTCTTGAGACATGTCGTCCACGTTGGAGTTGTCACACCTAATGTGGCAACAGCGCAGTCACAATCGTCTCCATACCTAGCCTAAAATGTCCCGAGTTGCTTCAAAGGAACGCCCCGCGTTCAAGAGTGGTGATTTGCGCGGCTGAAATACTAACGACAACTTTACGTTGTTTCATATGACGACTGTTGTTTAACGGCGCTTTTCACGCTTAGAAAGTCCTGCTTGGTTGTATACAAAAGTTATGCCTCAGACGGGACGCGAATCCGCATCGCCGTAATGCGTAAATGGGTAACGCAACCGCCCGGCAAGCCTTAGATGCTGGTTCGAGTCCCGTCCGACGTATGAATTTCGCCCATTTCGCTGAAGACAACATGCTAAATAATATAAAGTTGATGAAAATAAACGTTTGGATGAAAAGGCCAGAAAACCCCCTGCGTACATGGCCGGTAAGCCACAAAAGCAGCCCATGCTCAGTCGTGCTTGTTCTGCCGAAGACCCGAAGAGAACGTGGTTCCTCACTCTCCGTCGTTAGAAAACTCAGGCAGCTAGTAGCGGAAAACCGGCACCCACCACGGAGCTTTAGAAAAAGCTGGGGGTTGCCGTGGCTGTGAGTGCGTCGGAGTCGTGGCTTAGTCGCTTGGCGGGCTGCACTTCCCTTACGTATTTTTGTGCTGCGAAATTAGTGCTTGCAGCAGGAATACCATGTACCATGTCCAATGTAGGCGTGTGTCAGGTGGTCGGACGGCCTCTGAAATAGGTTAAGAAGTTAGTACTTCACTTAATACCCGGTTTGACTCGGTTTTGCTGATAAAAATGTGCTACTTTCGAGCTATGCCAAGTGACACAATTGGTGATTTTTCAGATAAAAACTCGCTTACGGGCTGTTGTTCTGAATGACAAGGGTGCTGTCACATATCGCACAGTGGGGCCTGTAAGTGATCTGATTCTGCTTTCGAGAAAATAAAGGTCTCAAATTGTCTTTAGGATAGTCCGTGGGGTGCCAAGCACCCTCCTGCTCGAATCATTCCTATTTGCGATAAGCTGAAAGAAACCATCCCGAGAAACAAAGCGAGTTTGTTCGCGTGCCGCAGAACAACTGGACCATTCCTCTTCAGAAGAAGATTATTCAAGCGACGAAAGTGAGAGTGAAGAGAGCGGCGTAGTTTCTGATGAAGATATAAAAGATGATATAAAAGAGCGGCACAGTCAGCAAAAGTTTGTTCATATCCTTGAATACTTGGTTTTGTCGTACGCTTCTAAACAGTGTGGTTCAGAAGACGATCTGTAGCGCCACCACCAACCCGGTTCAAAACTATCACTAAGTTGTCGCCCAAGAAAAGCCGAAGTATTGCTCAAAATTCTAAACAAGCCAAACGAGTGGGTTTTTTAGTTTCTAATAATAATGTGCACTCTATTCAGTTTTATTCAGAAAATAGAAACCTTGGAGGATTTTCGCCGTCGCCTGCATACATCTGAGGTTCCTGAGCGCATGCCTTGTCGTGAAGAGGTTTGGTTACAATATATATTCCTTACCTATCCGTTTTTATTCTGTGGAATTGAAGCTCAGGTCTTCTCCTCTACCACAGCGTTCTTGTTATAGCATACATTTTTTTTTCTAGGAAGCAGCCGAGGTCGAAAAATTCATTCGCAATGCGATATCGCACAAAGGAACAAGCAGCGCTATGTATATAAGTGGTGTTCCTGGAACAGGAAAAACTGCCACAGTAGTATCGGTAAGCGAATAAATAGTGGCTAAAGGTTGGAAAAACCGACCTTCTGGTGAAGGGCCATGCCATGAAAGCATACAGTCTTGTTCGCTGCGGATGCCGGGCGTTTCTGATGGGAGGGGCTGCGTTTGGCGTGTGCCAGTTCCTTTTCCATCAATTGTTGAAGTGAGCGAGCAACAACAATTGGTGGTAATGGTGTGTTCTGCGCCAAATCTGTCTCCCTGAGACATCGCAGCATCTGCAGCAA